ACAGTCTAAAAAAATATTAAAATTTTATTTGAAAATTTTAAAAAGTTAAATATTTATTGAGTTAATTGCATCATAAATCCTCAAAGTATGACCCTCATTTTAAATTGGTTACTAAACTTTTAAATGTTTCAGTTTCATCCCTAAATTATGATTGTCATTCTAAATTAGTCCTCAAACTTTTGAACATTTCAGTTTCATCCCCAAAATGTGACATTTATTCTAAATTGACCCCCAAACTTTTTGAACATTCTAATTTTATCCTAAATTATACTCGTATATTCACATCCATTGTTAACAAAATCCTTAGGTCAAGTTACATTATTGTATGTTTGAAAAAATAGGTTAAACTATGTTTGAAACTAATTATATATTCGGATGAATTTAGGGATATAATTGGAATATTTAAAAGTTTAGGGACCCATTTAGAAAGAGGGTCATAGTTTAGTGATAAATTAGAATATTCAAAAGTTTAAGGATGTTTTAAAATGAAAGCCATAGTTTAGGGATCAAATTAGAATATTAAAAAGTTTAAGTACCAATTTAAAATGAGGGTTATAGGTAGGGAAATATGATGTAATTAACTCATATTTATGTAAATATATTAAAATATATGGTAAACTATACCAATGGCCACCCAACTATAGCCCCTATTTACTTTGACCACCATTTTTTAATGCATTCAATCAGGCCACTGGCCGTCAATAGTTAACGGAAGTGATGAAGTGACAGTTAGTAAAATTGGTACAATTTCATATTTGGTCACGATTACTTATATATTCTATCAATTTGATTATAATTTTAATAAATTAAAATAAATTTAATCTTCAAATCAGATCATGTCGCATGTCAGTAGTGCCAAATATCATGAGACATGTCTCCACCCGATTGGAGGATTTAATTTAGTTTAATTTAATATAATTAGTTTCTACCAATCAGAGAGTGACACATGTTATCATCAGGTGGAATGAAAATTAAAACACTAAAGAAGAGGTCATGGGATTCAAACTAAAGTCCCTGGAGTGACAAAGGAGAGCACTAACCACTAAGACAAGCCCATTTTATGGTTTATAAAAGAGTATATATATATATATATATATATATATATATATATAGTTTCTTAGTATAATCTTAAATTCTTAATAATAAATATATCTTAACTTAAAATCACATCTCAAAATTTAAAAATATATTTATTCTTTTAACTTATTGAGTTTATTTATTCTTATCTTAATTGAAAAATGTATTTTAATCTTATCTTAACTTATAAAATGTATTTTATTCCTAACTTAACTTAAAAATATATTTTATTTTTATCTTAACTTGTTACATATATTATATTCTTAAGTTAAATTATTAAATATAATATATTCTTACCTTAAATTATTAAATATTATTTATTCTTATCTTAACTTGAAAATATACATTTTATTTTAATTTAAAAAATATATTAATATATTTTATTCTTATTTTTAATTTAAAAATATATTTTATTTTTATCTTAACTATAAAAAATATTTTTTTATCTCAATTTTAAAATATTGTAAGAATAAAATTTAAATATTTAAGTTAAGGTAAAAATGTTTTTTTAAGTTTAAAAAGACTAATATATTTATATTTTTTACTTTAGTTAAGATAAAAATAAAATAAATTCAATTTTATTAAGACATTAATTTAAGTTAAGATATATAATTTTTTGAATTTAAAATTACACTAAGATATAAGTTATATACCATATGTAGTCAATTTCAAGGCAAATGAGTAGCCTTATCCATGTGGTTGATACTCCTTTGTCACCCACACTACCCAAGTTTGAATCCCATGCCCACATGTGTCACCCTCTTATTGGTGGTAACTGAATATACGAAATTAAAATAAATTAAATCCTCCAATCGGGTGGCGACACGTGACATGATATTTGACACTACTAACATATGCATGATATGATTTGAAGATTAAATTTATTTTAATTTATCAAAATTATGACCAATTTGATAGAATATATAAGTAACAATGACCAAATGTGTAATTATATCAAATTTATTAATTATCTCGTCATCACTTCCGTTAATTGTTAACGGCAAGTGGCATGATTGAATGCATTTAAATAGTTGGGTGGCCTGATTGACAAGAATTAAAAAATGATGGTCAAAGTGAAAAGAGGCTATAGTGTGGTGGTCACTAGTATAGTTTACCCAAAAATATATTAGATTCTTATTCTCATACTAGTAATAAAGAAGAGAAAAAATGGATCTACGAGCTCATACAGAGCACTGGGTTTGGGAGGTTCTAACTGGCGAAAGCTTTATTATTCTTGAAACAGGTTTTAACAAAGCTATTTATTTCTCTTTAAATAAAATCTAAATTTTACATATAAATTTTTAACTTAATGGGTAATATAATATATGAATTTTAATTTAATATAATATTATATACATAAAACTTTTATTTGATCAGTTTTTATAAACTATTGTTATCAACTTTGAATCATTTCACATATTATGCATATAAATAATTATTTATTTAACATATCCAATAACTTTAAGGTTTGAGTTTAAGTCTCACTTAATGTATATTAAATATGTATGATTTTTTATAAATTTATTTTTTATTTAAATTTTCATCATGTGTGGATTATATTATAATAAATTTGGTTTTTAGTCTTATTGTATACTCTAATATTTGATTCTAAAATAAAAAGATATATTATTTATGATCTGTATTTATATTTTTATTTGTACCTTCTTAAAAATATATTATCTAACTAAATTATATGTTTGAAATTGAACTAAAAATAAAATATTTATATAATTTAATTAAAATTAAACTTTTATGTGTACAATTATTCAAAATAAAATTTTTTTTTAAGGTATATGAGTTTATATCTTATAAACTAACATTTTTAACAATAATTATAATTATTATACTTTTTAACTAGTATTGTCTTGTGATTCACTATAACTTTATGTATATATATTACAGCACTTCAAATATATATAAGAGAAAGGGTCGGAGGGGTTAATAGTTAGTCAGGTGTATGACGTACACATGATTTTATGTTAGGGGTTTAAATTTAAGAAATTATATTAGAAATTTGGAGGAATAAAATTATAAAATTTTAAGAGTTACAAAATTTGATTATTTATAAAAAATAAAAACATTTAAATTATATCAATTTAAAATTTTCAAGGGATGCGATCAAACTCCAACAATCCTTGGTCTATCTTGATTCAGATGGCCATTATTTATGCTTTGCTCTTTCATTTCTAATGAGATAGAAGGATAAAGAAATGGAATCTTAAATTGTGTATAGCATTCACAATCATTGAAGTGTAGCTCAAAGAATGAGGATAAGGATGTTAATTAATCATGAAGAACCAGAATGGCATTGTCCCAAACACATTAGACAGAGATATGGTCCACTATATTTTTACCTCCAAATTGTAGAAAAGCTTCAGCCTTCTGGGTTGAGCACTCTGGTGACATTCTCATTTTATATTACTAGTTTAAAACCTTGTACTCACCAAAACTTTGCATATTAAGTCATTATTCATAAAGGTCAATTAATTAGTCGAGTGATTAAAAATGTACGTGTTATTTTATTATATGTAGGTTCAAATTCAAGTTTTTTAACGAGGGACTTACTTTGAACTTTTTACATAACTAATGAAATTCTTGCTGCAACTTCATCATGCTCCTATACATGGCATCAAGACCATTCTCGAATTAGAATTTTTGAAACTACATCCATGAAATAGATAATCTTCTGTTTCATTATTCCCATAACATAATACACAATGCTCATCAATCGTCGTACCAGCCTTTCATTTGTCGGAAGTTTATCAGTGACCATCCAAAACGGTGAAGGATTACTTTGATTTATGAAGTGGATACCAAATCATCCATCACTTTTCAACCTCATCTCCTTTTAAATTATAATTTTGGTCCTACACTATATTTATTTTTAAATTTAATTCTATTATATTTTAATTTAGTATGATTTGAGGCATAATGTAATTATTCAGTCTAAATACTCAACATCACTAATTATTCCTAAATATTTTACTTAAAAACACTCATTCCAACGCAAAATATCTATATTAAAACTAAATCTTATAATATGTGTTGAAAATCAGTGGAGAAGAAGACTGAAACAAACCTTATAATACTAAATAAATATGTATAGATATTTTAAAACTTAATTTAAGAAAGAAAAACGCATACATCCATCACAAACTTATTATATAATATTTGTAGAAACTTGAACTTACCTTCTTCCCTTACTGGTTCATACACAAACTCTTTTACTTGTAAATGTATGGCAGTGAATGACAGTTTTTTCTTCAGACAAGGGGGGAGAGAGAGAGAGAGAGAGAGAGAGAGAACTTTAACGCTTGAGATCAGTTTGTCCTAATTGTTGTTGCTGCCTTGAAAATAAGTTTCTTTTCATTTTCTTAAAGAGTTGCGGACTTGTAACCCAGTAACCAACGTTGTCTTTGATTCTATGATGAACCCTAGCAAGTTATAAAAAAGGAAAAGAAAATCTTAGTGAAAAAGGCAGCAAACCCTAACCCAATCACCTTGCTTTCCTCAAGTCATGACTTGCCATCTTCCCCCCGACCAACCTTCAAACTGCCACTAAATTAGATAAACAATATACACATATATTAATTCATGCAATATATATATATATATATATACTAGTTTATGTTCATATTTATCCATACATCAAATTATAATGAAAATACAGTAGAAGTTTAGTTTGTGTTAAGGGTGGAAGAAGGTAACTGCTAAGCAAACAAGAAAAATAAATATTACTATTTCGCTCAACTGCAAACCAATAAAAATATACATTTTTATTATTATTAAAGAATCATGAACCCATCCATCACTGTGAATCCCATACCATCTTTTTTAGAGGAGAAAAAGAGATTAAATAAATAGTATTAGCATTTGTTAAGGATTTGATCTTTAAAAGTATCACGCTGAAAAAAAGGAACCCTAACAAAAAGGTTGCTTTTTTTTTTCCTTTTTATTTGTCGGAAGAACAATTCTCAGGCAACTTGAAAAAGAAATGGAGAGAGAAATGACTGCCATTTTTTGGTGCTTCTTCTTCGTTAAGCTACAATAATGAGTGACAATTGAAAGAAAAGAAGCTAGACTTGTAAAATACTACTAAAAACCCACCAAAGAGAAATTCATGAAATTTGTAGATCCTTCTTCAAATTAAACCCAGATGAATCCCATGATGATCAGCATATTAAAAATACCATCTTATCAAAGAAGAAGAATGGAGGTGATCAAAAGGTCAAACAACCAAGAGAAGTGACACGAGGGGAAAAAAGAAAAAGAAGGAAACTTTTCTGTTTTGTTAATAAGAGGGACGACCTGTGGCCCAGTAGGCCTCAGCTGGTAATTGGACTGAGTTCAGAAGATTTGGTGGCAATTCTTGGCCGAAAGAAGCGTTCGGATCTGGCAATAGTTGCTGCTGCTGCGGCGGTGGCTGCTGTTGTTCACTAGCCATGCTTCCTGGTGAGCCTAAGGGCCCACTTCCAGGAACCGGCGCCGTCGGTGGCTCCTCTTCTTCCAATGGAAGCCTTTCATACGCAGCATTACCAAAAGAAGCCGCCATAATCACCACTGGACCTGAAGCAACAAGTGGACCCACCACGGTTCCTCCAACCACCTGGCCTTGGCCACCGGCTAAATATATGGTCAACCCTGAAGCAGCCGGCGGTGCCGGAGGAGGTAAAAACGAACCAGAAAGTGATAAAATTTCGAATCTTCCGTGTAAACTCACGACTGCACCAGGAGCACCAGGTTGCCGCAAGGTCACATTCGTGACAGTCCCGCTCCCACTCAAAATGCTAACCCCTCTTTGTCTTCGCCTAGCGAAAGTCGAAACGCTCTCCATAATATCACAGCCGTCGGCGATTTCCATAACGTGGGATCGGAGAGCATTGGCACTATCACGAGTTATGATGATCGGTGGCTTAGGCTTGTTCTTGGAACCAGAGGGTCTGCCTCGTGGTCTCCTCGTGATTTCACCTTCAGCACCGGGGACTATAGATAGTTCCTTGCCTTCACTTGTGTCGGTACCGGAAGTGCCTCCTCCGCCCATAGTGGTGGCTGTTTCTTCTCGATCTCGTTTCTGGCCACCGTTTTGTTCGTCCTCGGAGCTTTGTTGTTGTTGTTGGTGGTGATGTTGAAATTGATGTTGCGGGTTTAGATGAAGATCTCTTGTGAGGAAAGAAGGAAGCGGGCGGCCATGAGCTGTTACTGGGTCCATTGGTTTTCTTCCCTTCAAAGTTCAAACCTAATTAAACAAGTAGAAAGCACATGCAACAAAGAGCCAAGCGATCAGATTTCTAATAGAGAAAGACGAAAGAAACGATAATAGGGTTCTTGATTTTGGGGGGTATCTTTGACTGATTGTGTAACTGCTGGTTTCAACAAAAAAGGGGAAGAGAAGAGGTTTGAAGCATCTGGCAGCAAATCTTCAGGTGAAACAGCTGAATCAAGCCATGCCTCTTTTCTGCACGCTTCATGTGAGTTTGAGATAGTTTTTTGTTAGATACTTGTGGCTTCTCTTGTATGAAGATCTAAGTTGTTGGTTAAGTGTTTGGGAGGAAATGAGATCAACAGTGTTGGAGTAGAGGTAAATAAAATGAAAGAGAGGTGGTTTATGGGTTTGGGTAAGTGCAATTGTTTTGTGCTTTGTAGCTAATACTGTTGTTGTTGGGTTAGGGTTAGGTCAAGTCATTCCATCAACGACAATAGTAGGGTGAGTATATACTGGAATCAAGTTAAAAATTTCTTTAACTTAGCATCCAATTTTTATTTAACGTTTTTAGTCCAGTTATTCTAAAATTTAAATCAATTCAAATTAAATTAAATTAAAATTCTAGAGAGTATTTATACACACAACCTTCTTTCAAAGGAAATCAATAAAATATTTAGTATAATAAATTAGGTTTTATAATTTATTAATTTAATATTCCAATCCAATAAAAATTCAAATAACTTAATAATTATATAATTTAATTTATTAGACAATTGTTTTAAAACTTTTAATGGACATTATATGGTTTAAATTCAGGAATTCTAAGGATATTTATATCAATTATTAATTAATTTTTGAATACTTAAAATTATAAAATTTTAATTAAAAATTAAAATAATTATTCAAATTATTTTAAAAATTAAATAATTTTAAAAAGTCAATTCAATTAACTTGATTTTTTTAATTTAAATATAAAAACTCAATCTTAATAGTAAGTTTAATTCAATATAAATATATGAAAATAATTATATTACTTTAAGATTTAAAATTTAATTTTACAGTAATAATTTTTCTAAAAAATTAATGTCATAAAATTAAATTTTAAAATAGTTAACAATTTTTACAGTTTAACCCTTCTTTAGTCTTTACTTTTACTTTGTGGTAAGAAAACATGTGCATGGGCGGTGTGTAGGACCTCCCATTTTTTGCTCCCTCTCTCTCTCTCTTTCTCGTTTGTCTCTCTACTTAACAGTCCCCACCATGGACCCAACAACACCCCCACGTTCTTCCCCCTTTTTTTCTCTTTCTCCTAAATGTCTCCAGATTTAAAAGCCTGCACTCTTTGATCATACTGTTCCACATTTACTCTCTCTATACCTTCTTCCCTTCGTTTCACTCTCTTTTAACTGCTACAAATTCTGAAAATTTTATCTTCAGGTGGACCAAAAAGTAACCTACTTTCTATCACATGAAACAAGTTCCATGAAGATGACATATCTATTCCCATTTGTCACCCTTTTATACTAGGATTCAATATAAAGCAAAAGGGAAAAAAAGTAGGGATTGTTTGTAAGGTCTCTTTCATGGGATTATTTTCATCGTCCCCAAGCCTAAACTAAGAGTTTAAAAGCTGGTTACATAAATAATCTTTGGATGCATGTTTATATAGGATTGAAAACGGCTGCAATGCTTCTTTACTACTGGACTGTGTATTTTAATAATTGGAGAAGGCCACAATTAGGGATGGCAACCGGGTGGTTTCGGTTCGGGGATTGGTCCCCGTTCCCGTTTAAAAATCACATATCCATTTCCGCTTAAAAAACCGAAGGGATTTAAACGGGGATTTCCATTGGGTAATCGGGAAAAACCGCAAGGAAAGAGGTATTTCCGTACCGCGGTGAAAATTACCCTTTTAAATAATTGTTTACCTTATATGGTTATTTTTCACTGTGGGGATACCCGTTACCGTTTAAATTTTACACGATGACACGAGTTATTTAAAAAATAATATCATTATCGGATTTAAACTTAATTGAAATGCCAAACACTACTAAATGCATCCAAAATATAAAAACAAAACAATTCTAATAGACAAATATAATGACAACGACTAATAATATAATGTTTCAACTTTCATAAACGAAATCATTCTTCAAAAGTTCCCACTTCCAAGTCACGTCAACGACACCACCAGCGTCATCAAACAGTTGTGACCCCGTCTTGAGAATAGTCACAGGGAAAGTGACTAGTAGGACAATATGTGTTCTCTTAAATCCTAATCTCCTTTGTATATTTTTTTAATTTAAATTAAATTTATTAATATTATATATATATATAATAATTATTTTTAATATTTATCGGATCGGATATCGGGTTGGATAATCGGGTAATCGGGGAGAGGATTACTAAACCCGTCCCCGTCCCCGTTTAAAAAATTTAATTTTTTCCGTCTCCGTTTATCATCCAGAACCTAACCTTTTTAATTCGATTTTTTCCGACGAGTTCGATTTTTTTGCCTCCATAGTCACAATATGTGTTTGAAAACTGAGAGGATATATTATTATTTCTGCTTGAAAACTGAAAGAAGGTAAGCGATACGAAGTGTGGGTTTTGCTTTGCATGGTTCTGAGAGGAGTGATCTGAACTAACAAACATGGTATTAAATTGTGATTAGAATATAATATAACGATTATATCATAATAATTTTTTAAAATCATCACGATATCATAAATCACATTCATAATATAAAAATATAATTAATTTTTAAAAACAAATCACATAATTACAATTAAAACATTCACAACCACAACAGTGACCGTGACTGCAATCTAATAAGATTAGGTCAAAAGAAACATGGGAGGAGATTGGTCTAAGCACTAATCTTTTGTCGCATTCGTTTCCCGGTAATTAAATTGAGATATTGAGTTTAATTTAATGAGATATAATATTGAAAGAATAGAGGGTTTGATGGTGCATGTGGGTCATGGGAAATTGGAGTGGGAGCCACAAAAACGGGTCAGAACTCAGAAGAGTAAGGGCGTGTCGTAAGGGGGACTCACGTTTCTAGGAATGAATGAATGATCTCTGCCTCTATTTCCTCTTGGCCTGGGCGTGGCACTCCCCCACTGTCATTGTCTACATTCTTCACCTTCATCTTTATATTGGGGCCGGGGGCTCCCTTATTTTGCTTTTTTAATCACCTTAAATCCACAATAATCATTATTTAGTTTGTTTATCAAATATTAATTTTATAATATTAAATTAATGTTATATTTTTATTTAATTATCTATCATTAAAAAATTAATAACAATATTAAAATATTTTTTTTAATTTTTTACATTATATTTTAATTGATCTATTATCATTTCTAATAATGTTACGCGAATCCACTAAAAGATGATAAAAAAGTAATCTGGAAAAATCAAACCTAAAATCTTTTAGGTGGGAGTCTTGTGTTTAGGTACTAATTTAAGTTTGAAATTTTGATAATTCCGCAAAAAATGCATATTAATTTCATTATCTTCATCGACATCAGTTAATTGTTTGTTTTTGGGTTCATCGGTATTTATTAAAAACTATACTTGTTGATCTGCATACGACATTTCTAGTTTTCTACAGTGAGAATGATTCATCTGATTTGTTTTTGACTAATCGGGAAAAATATCCGGACCTTTGAAACTTTACAAATATGTTTTTATGCCACGTGTACTGTCAACTGTGAAGGAAGCCCAAGAGATGTAAAAGTTGGGCTTCCACACTTTTTCAATTATCCCCATACTTTATGTATTCTCATCTATTTCGCCTTTTCAGTGTTTGTTTTATTCACTTGTTAGCAGCACTTTCAATGATTTATTATGTAACATCCTAAATTTCAATTTATAAAACTCAACCTCACTACTACCCCAAATAAAACATGTTCAATTTATTTATGTTTCTGAGCAAATTTGTCTGAAGCTCGTTTAGTAAATCAAATGGTTTTTATTTATTTATAATAGAATTATTAATATTTATTTTCATTTATTTTATATTTAAAAAACATATGTTTTTTACAGTTTGTTTGTTTATTATTTATAATTTTTTAATTTATTGATTACGTGTATACATCCTGCAGATGTAACTGCCTGATATCTGAATCCTTTAAGAACAACAATGTTTCTTTTCACCATTGACACCACCTAATAGGTTGATGTTAATTTAATACCAAATCACATTTCAATTGGTCTAACCAGTTGAAATAAGAATTAAAGGTCTAATTAGTTCGATTTAGGTCTATTTTTTATAATATTTGACTAATATATTTATATATATATATATATATATATATATATATATATATTGTCTAATTTTTAGTTGTTTAATATTCATAAACATTAAATATTAGATATGTGTATACAATATTTTAAATAAACAAATATGAATAAGTATTAAATTTTACTAATAATTATGAAACCGAAAACAAATACACTTAAAAATAAAAATCTATTTGGTGAATCTCAATATACAGTCGTAATTGTGCGGGACACAAAATCCTTTAACATAAAATAATGATGGAATCTTGTGAAGAAAAGAGGTGAAGTCTTGAAATGAAAGACAGTCTTCCCTCTAGAAACAATAAATGAAACAACGGGAAATTGGTGGACCATTTGGCCCAAACGCAAACACTAATACTTTAATATTACTGCCTTAAACATTATTTTAATCAAACCCCTTATCTTTGTCCAAATTAAATAATTAAGGTAAAGCTAATCCATCAAGAGCGTGGACCAAATTCCATGTGAAGGGCAACTTATGGCTTGCATTTGTGTTTGCATGTTCTCAATCCCTTAAAGAAGCTTATATTCTTTTTTTTATATTAGGGTTAATTTGTTGAGGTCGTTGAACCCATTTTCTCTGTCTTCCACGGAATCTGAAAGCTCCAAGCTTTCGGTTTATTGCTAATTAATGGAGCACTGTGGGATTTTTTTATTTTTATTTTTAGGGACTGATTAAACAGCAGACCAAACTGAAGGGTTGCCATGTGATATGATAGCGATTCTTTTGGATTCATTATTCACTAATTTTAAATTAATAATATTGCAAATGGTACAGTGTTAATGTCAACGGGGTTCCTTTCTCTCCACGTTGATGGCATAATGTTGAAATTTGACAAAGATTCTTTTTTATTTTTCAAAATAAAATATTTGGATTAATCAAAATCATATTCTTTTTAAATATTTATCCTAATTCACAATAATTCTAATTAAATTTAATTTTGAAAAAAGTAATAATCATGTATCACTGTTTAAGTTTTTTTCTTTTAAAAAAGAGAGAGAATCAGAATAATTAGGTTATGGGTAATTGATTCATTTGCAGCATTTCAATCAAATATAATTGCAATGTTGGAAATATCTTCTTCTCAATTGGAGTCTTAATATAGGAACATACACAACATACTATTTTGAAGTTTAATTCGATTAATATAGGAACAACATACATACATAATTTACCAAATGCATATATTATATATATGTTTTCCCACGTGTGTGGGAGTGGTGATTGATGTCGGGGAAGGTTGTATAATAATATTCTTGGTTTAGATCGGAGGAGGCTTGATAGATGGGAAATTGATGGGTTCAAATTATAAATATTTATTTATTTATATAAATCTAGGAATCATTGGACTTGGCTATTGAACTTGATGGTTGGTGGATTTACCCGAGCTCTCTCGTCTTACTACTTCAAGCCCAATTAGGCTTTGTTAAAGACCATTTGGGTAAATGCCTCAATGGAAATCTTTTGAGCTAATAATCCTTTTTTTCAATAGACCATGGTGATTATAAGATAATATCTATTTAAAAAAATTAATAATTAATAATATATATACATACGTAGACGTGGCTGCTTGAACACAAAACCTCTAAAAAATTAATATTCCCTTTAACCACCGAGACCACTTAATGAGTTAAGCTAATAAATCTTGTTAAGAAACCGTTATAAGTTTTGTTTTATCATTAAATTCTTAAAAGCATATTTAAAGTTTAAAATAAAAGAAATGGTATATCATACTTTATGACCCCATTGATCTAAAGTTTGGACTTCAAAGATCACATTGAATAATTTCTTTGTTTAGTTTGTTGGCTAAGTATGGATCAATCTCGCTCACTGGCAAACATCATTATATATTTCTTTCATTTATTTTCATCGACTAGAGCTCATTAAACTACTTTAATGGTCGAATAAATTTTATTCTCTTTAAAAATTTCAAATATGAATAATTATATATATAAAGTGTATGTTGTCAGTGATTAAAAGGAACTCTAAACAAATATTATTTTATAATTATTTCTTATGTTTTTAAATTATTTCTTTAGTTCACCATTCTTCGAACAAATAAGCTGTCTTTATCTTTTTTAGATTCAAGATCAATTCATTAGAATTTGACCCATAATTTGTAAATTTTAACTTGATGTCATAACAGTTAAACTCTAATACTTCATTTTATTAGTATTCTTATTTGATCTCTAAGGATTCATCTTAGTTTCCATCTTTGTTTACAAGCCAGAAAAGCGAAGTTGGCGAATGAAAATAAATAATTTACTTATAAATAAAAAGTATAATAATAAATTTATCTCTCAACATTTTCTCTCTCTCAATTTAACCTTCACTCTTTATTTTTAGCCTTCATATTTATTTGACACATTGCCTAGACTACTTAGATACCTATCCATCCTTAAATCAAAGGCTACTAGACGGTTAAACATTTTTAATCTTATATTTTTTATAGATTACAATGAACCGAAATTTAAATCAATGAAGTTGATGCAATAATTTGAGTGACAATTCACATGTTTTATTGTCAAGTATTGTGTATACAGGAATATGCTAATTGAAAGTCTATTATCTTATATTCGTTCTAGATTTACCAAAAGGAAAAAAAAGTATACATCAAAAAATCATTTTAAAAATATAAAAAATATATTTTGAAAAAAGATTTCCCACGTAATATAGTGAGATAAAGCAAATTGTCACGTCAAAAAAATTAAATCATGTAGATTGTCACACTTTAGGCTTTTTCTTAGTGAGAAGAATACATTTATTGACCATGAATGGACTAAGGGAGAGCAGGTAGGAACTGAGAGCAATAAGTCGTCTTTAATAATTTTAAATTAACCTATTATATATATATATATTGTACTTTCTATTAATAACATACTTTTATCACTTAAAGTGTTATAAATTCCTCTAATCATAAAATTTTAAAAATTCATATCCTCTTAAGATAAAATCCTACATTATTTCCTATTTCTTGCGGTTATAAAGTAACTATAATACAGAAAACCCGGTTCACTGAGTAATTATTGACGGACTTGAGTAATTTAGGAACGTGAAATAAGAATTTTAGGGTTTAAACATTTAATAAAACATTAAAAAATGTATGAGAATATACTAATAAAATTTAGAAAACTTGAGCTAATAAAATTATTTATCCAGAGCGTGGAAACCATTTTTAAACTTGAAATTTTATGTCAACAAATACAGTAAGCGGATATGGCTAATAATTTACAAAGAGCTCAAGGGTCAACTCCTTAGATTTTCAGACTCACCTTCAAAAGATAGAACGGTTCTTGTACGTACAGACGCAGAATACACAGAAATTTTAGTAGCCGGAGAATATTCAAAGCTTTGACCATCATCCATGATCTTTTTAACTTGTACGCTCTGCTGCCTTCATCATTGATCGAAATTCTTTGAAGTCCACAAATCCATCACCGCCCTTATCAACACGTCTAATCATGCGCGTACACTGTTGAAGGCTACACTTGTTGAACCCAAGGCCATTCAAAACGTTACGCAACTCTTTGGCCGAGATTAACCCATTTTTATCACTATCGAAGATGAGAAAAGCATCCATTAGATAATCTTCCCCGCCGTTCATCGCTCCGTCGCTGGTGTCATTGACGACTGCATGCATGAACTCGTCCAAATCGATGTAACCATCACCGTCGAAATCCATTTCTTTGACCATTCCTTGGGCAGCTTTGGAGGCTGTGGATTTTTCATGTCCGAGGCACAGAAGCACTTCGCTGAGCTCCAATGGAGATATCTTTCCATCCCCATTTGAGTCGATCACTTTGAAGACTTGCTTAAACTGACCTGATATCTCCAAGGCGGCGAAAGACGATGTTTCCAAATCGAAACTCGACGACAACTTGCGACGCTTTGATCTTCTCTTGCACCGGTTAACATTAAAAAACGTTTTAGCTCCCTTAGACAGAGAGATCCAACAAGTTTTGCAAGAACTTAGCATTGATCCTAAGAAAGGGAAAGTCGTAAATGAAAGGTACTTGTGCTAGAACTGGGTGGTGGTTATATGAGAAAGCTGAAACCTGAAAGTTATGGCCCTTTTAAAGGAATTTAGTAATTTGTCGTCTTGTAATAATTTTATGGGGGCAATAACCTGAGTAAAAGACTAAACAACCCTTTGAGAAAGGATAATTTCCATCATTTTCAACGTTGTGAACGAGATCGAGAGGAGGGTAGTAATGGAGACTCCAGATAATGATGAAATCCTTTTTAAACGTTGTGTTGATCAAGTCTTGTCTTGTGGATGCCAGCTGAAATGATAAAACCGAAATGGGGCCGGCTCATTTCGTTTTCAACTACCCTTGTGCTTGTGTTTGTTTTTTTTATATCGCGGCCGCCGCAGCTTTGCCTTGAGCACAACATTCTCGACTTCTTATCCGAGACTTGAGCACATTTCCAATCTCATTTGATGAAGAGGAAATCATGGGAGCCAGATGCTTTCCTCCATTAAGTCAACCCCTTGTTTTCTTTTGTTCAAGCTATGGGTTTGACAGAAACCATGGTTTTAGTCCATCATGTTCGAGTTTAAACCATGGTTTTAGACTTTTAGTCCATCATGTTCGAGTTTTTAATCTCATTCGGGTAGAATCATTTAGGCAACAAGACAAAATAAGTTTCAACCTCACGTGTCTAATAAGAAAATTTCGTACAGAAAAATAACTGTTCTGAAACTCATTTAAAAGGAAAATTAATAATAATATCTATCATACAACAGAACATTCCCAACTGAAATCTATGAATTCAGAAGAGCTCTTCATGCACTGAAACTATATTTCCGGTAACAATTATTGTAAACCAAAAGTGAGAATGGAAACTGAGAATTAAGTAAGAGGTAAAAGAAAGCAACTATATCACACACCCAAGATCCACACGATCGCAGTAAAACGGGACCAACCAAGGAGCTAAGTATGTCACTAAGAGCTGTCTGGACCTCATTTGAACCATGCTCACAACTTATCAGGCCCGAAAGAAGAGGGAAGAATTGAGCCAAGTTCTCGAAAAAAGTATCACCCAAACAACAAATAGCCTGGAGAGTTGCCACTATAAGAGGTGCACTGGAAGCCAATTCTCTTCGTTTCCCAGAAACTGAAGGAATCAACCATTGGCTTTGCTCGTTGGGAGATGTTTCAGAAGTCTGTCCAGAGCCTGCAGTTTCTATATAGAACAACAATACTTCCTGACAAAGATCAACAAGATGGGACTCCACTTCAGCCTCCTGAAACATTAGGGGCCTATATATTATCAGATTCTGCACAAGTGTAAGGAAAAATTGATACGACTCATTCTCAAGACGCATCAGTAGAGGATCTTGTATTTGGGTCATGGGACCAAGATCTTGAAGCTTGGATCGTAGCAGAGTATCAATGTTGATCCTGTGAGCATGGGAAGCCACGTCATGCATGGACTCATACAGGACTAAGGTGCTCTTAGCTGAAAGGCGAGTTCGATACATGTAAATCTCCATTACCGCCTGTCAAAACAATAAGAACAGCAAAATCAGACCCAAAATTAAAATTTCGCCCATGTCAAACTTCAAAACAAAACCGATTATTCATTTAGACATTTGTGCAAGTATAAATACAAAAGAAAAAGGAAATGAAAATAAAACAGTGATAGTTGGCACTTGTTTATTCTAGAAATTTGAGATTTCAAAAACGGTCTCAACAAACAAGTCTTTGCTACATAAATCTCATAATGTGATTCGATTAAAACAACTGCGTCGTTATCAACCCTTATAAAAGTTCAAATCTCTTAACGTGTTTATGATATAAGAAGTTTTTAATGTTTTTCAATATTAGGATGAGAAGTCTCAACTGAACAGCAGCCCGGCATTTTGCATCTGATAAAGCAGCATAAAGGCGCTGTGTTCTCAGGCTTTCGGAATCACCCTGGGATGTGTCCAAATCCGCAGAAGCCTCGATACTTTGGCCATTCAAAGCATGTCCATTGCTACCAGCCATGCTATCCCCACTAACAATGTAAGAAAAATCAGGGAGTGTTGCATTAGCTGCTTCTTTTAATGAACCTACTTCCAGCCACTTCTCCTCTTAAAAAAGATTTCCAGCAATGCTCATCAAACGTACAAATGCAGCAGTTCCAATACTAGCTAGGCTTTGGTGGGGACGCTTGATAAAACTTGCAAGTAAAGAGGGAACCTTCCTCAAAAGTGGATTGACAGTATTATAAAAATTCACAAAAAGATCTACAACTAATTGGAGAGCCAATATACACGTCTCGTAGAGCCATGCATCTTGATCAAGTTCATCCATGTCGTTAACGATCACCTCCTCATGTGTCACCACCCGCTGGATCAATACCATGACGCACATAGTCAAATATCAGAAAAAAGGACAGATTCAAATACTCTTTCCCACAAAGGCAATGAGAAGAGGTGACCATGGTTGCGCAAAGTTTCAAACAGCAATTCTAAAGCACTCTTCCTAATTTCAGGCCTAGGGTCAAAACTAAGTTCTGATAAACCTGCAAAGCAAAATGCGATGTGAGTTAAGGTCAGAATAAAATGAATTTCTAAAGTTTGAAGATAAAAGTAACTACAAAATCTCAAGCAAATTTGGATGTGTAAATTAAAACAAGTACTTCATTATTCCTTACCAGCCAACAAGGGGAACCATAAATAGAGTTGATCCTCCTTATCTATGAGCTCTCAATTCTCTTGTTTTCCATCTTTTCCGTTATGAGGTGAAGAAGGAGAAATCTTCCCACATTCCTTATCCTTTTTCTTTGATGAAGAGCCAAGATCGCCTTCTGCAAGTTTCATAGCACAGAAACGTAGAAAAGCAATTGCATTGAGGCTAATTTTGTTGTAACTATTGGTGAAAGCAACCAGGCAGTTCACACAATCAGTGAAGGTGGTTGTTTCCGTTTCAGTTATGTATGGGAAATAGTCTCGAATAATCTTTTCCATTATTTCAAAGGCTAGCAGTACAATGTTTTTGTGGTTGTCATAAGCTACAGTAGCAAAGACCTGAAAAGAATTTACCAGTTCAGTCATAAAATGATACAGATTAAGGTTTCAAAAATTAGGACCTATATGATAGCTATTAAGAATTCAATACCATGAACATGCTCTTCCACCCTGATTTGACATTATTGACACGAGATAATACCATATGTGAGACACATCTAATGATTAATTCTCGGATTTCAACAGCACTACTCTTGAGCATAACAATAACAAAAAGGTTTCATAAATTCATTCTGGAAATTGTAATTAGCCAACTCTTCTCGCTCCAAAAATTTCATTGATAGTTTCCGTAAAGAGTCCATCGCAAAAATCGAAATTGAGAGCTTTTCAGAACAGCCAATGGTCACAAAGAAATCCGAGAGCACATGCCAGATGTTTGACCATACAAGCCTGATCCGGTTCATGTTATAGTGCCTGTCAGCAGAGTGGGAATTTTCAGTCAAGAAATATAAACAAATACAGTAGGATCCCTATAAAATAATATTGTTGGGACTAGAAAACAACTATTTTAAAGATGTTATTGAATTATCAACAAATGTAAATTATATATTTAACTAAAAAATTTTAAAAATCTATATTTTCTATCTTTATACATGTATATTATTATTTTCTTTTACTAGAAAACATGAATGACTCATAAATGAGAAAAGATAGATAGAGTTAGCACTTAACATATACATATAATCTCAAGGGGGGCCGGGGGGGAGAGGAATTTCCAACACCAGTCACCTTAAATAACTACTTGCTACATAAAAAAATGCACCGAGTGCAGTTGCACATTGCAAAAAAATTATTAAGAAATATTTTATGCTTTTTTATATTTTTTTAGGAATTATTAATTTATATATATTTGCCAGGAACTTTTTTTTGATAGGAAAGAGAGACCTTATTAAAAAAACCCTTCATACCTTACGAAATATGGATATTTCGTATGGCATTGGAAGGAGGAAAAGAGTGTCAAATTTTATTGACCAACCAATAATACAACATAGCAAACATAAAACACCTAACTGCAATGAAACATAACATTATAAAACCCCCCGAAACTAACATAACTTGCCTACAGACAGCCCCACTCAGCCTATTCCCTCTTTTGCCAACTTATCAGCCTCCCAATTAGCCCCTCTGGAAATATGCATAATCTTCACATCCTTATCCCTAATTAACTCAATAATCTCATTCAACAGCGGACACTCAGAATTAGAACCACCTAGGTTCTTTATCCACTTAACCACAACTAGGCAATCACACTCAACAATTAACCTCCCTTTACTACCCCATTGAGACTCAAAAAAAAGGTTCAAGCCCCTTCTAATTGCCAACAGTTCAGCAACTGTAGGTGCCCCTGTACAACTGCCTCTGAGAAAGAACCCAACAGAAAAACCCCTGAATCTTTAACAGTGCCTCCAATGCCCCCATTCAACCAATCACCAGTGACAGCACCATCCACGTTCAATTTTAAGAAACCAAAAGGAGGCGGAACCCAAACAGTCCGAGATAACACCTTACTCCCCTGTCTGCCCCTCATATTTGCCAGGAATTAAAGATGATATAATAAATTTATAATTTTTTGAGGGTGGAGGGATGAAAAGTGTCATTTCAAGCACCAGTCACCTTAAATAACTGCTTTCTACAACATAAAAAACGCACTGAATGCAGTTGCACATTGCAAAAAGAAAAAATATTAATAATATTATATGATTTTTTTATATTTTTTAGGAATTATTAATTTATATATTTGCCAGGACCTAAAGAAAATATAATAAATTTATTATTTTATGCATTTAGAAAGGTATTATCTTAATACACTAGCCTAAGTCAGATTATAAGATTTGATTAATTAACCAAAATTATTTATTGAACAGTCATTTATAGAGGTTTAACTGTATCATGGCACCAAGTTAAGTCAAAGCAAGAGAGAGAAGTGGAACAAATCTTACGCAATCTCAAGTCTCAACAATCTTCGTAAGGCTGAAAACCCGAGGATCAGATGTAGATCGCAACTCCTCCATCGACACCTTGCACAGAGCCTTAACAAAGTCTATGATAGCCTCACTATTCAATTTTTGACTACGTGTGAATATACGATTCACTTCAGAGCTTCCAATTTGTTCTAACATGTTGAGGTTAGACACTAAATTGTCCATCTGTTCAGATGCGACTGCCCCAGGTGAATTACCTCCAATACCAGCACCATCATATTAGCCCCTCATCGCAGCAGCAGCAGCAAACTGAATTTTTCCCGGTCCCTTTTTATTTAAAACAGGAAGGGTAGTTGACTTAGCTCGCTTAGATTTTTCTGACTCATTCTGTGGAAAGGCAAAAAATGTAGCATCTGGAAGAGCACCCTCTCCCAAGAGATGCAAGTGCTCAAACCGGGATACCCAAGTCAAAATATGCTCCCAAGCTTCTTGTAAATAATTCCCATCTTCATCTTCATCTGCAATTGTAATTATTGCCTGTTAGCAATGCAAATGAAACTTTCAATGTTAGATCCTCAAGCAAATGGAATTTTTACTTGAGATCAAATGAATGGATCTCACTAAATCGTTCCCTAAGGCCAGCTATCAAAAGGTTTCTATTTGAAACCGGTACATGGGGGGAAACCAAATTCAGATAAAAACCAGCAAATTTGAACTAATGACATTCCTCTTGGAGTGAGGTTGAGCATGTCAACCATTCATTACCATCTCTAAACCAAAGTTACAATGAATATCGGCAACAGCTAAAATGAAATAATATGTTCTCACTGACGTGAACATACTGCACTACATAGTTTGCCAAGATACAATCATCTGAAAGGGGTTAGGTACAAGGGAAAATCACAAAATTGAACATAAAATAAAAAATCTCAGAAGATATAAAATAAGGTCACTAACAACATATCCAGTACAAATGAAACAAAATACTAACCTTGATTGCATCTATATTTTTTGGTTTGATATCTGCAGGAGAATGTAGTGAAGTAAACTTAGCTAATGAAGTCATAAATGCATCTCTATGGGTCTTCAAGGACATAACAGCAGTAACATGGATTGCACAGCGGAAGCCATCAAGACATAATGCTATCACTACGTCATCATCACTTTGGTCAAGAGGCACGCTGAAGGCAGACAACATTGGAGCCCAACATACCTCAATCATGAATCTCAGAATCACTACATCTGTGGCTGCATAATAAACTGACCTACACATTGCCAGAAGAATGGAAATCAAGGGATAATCAAAAGGAAAAAAAATTCTTCAAAAAATGACACTTTTCAGGAAACATGTTTTGCTAACTAAGGCGAGAAATCCCATTAAAAGTACAAGGTAAAAGTGATTCTTTTTTAAAAAAAAAAAATAGAATATTTTTTTTATTGGAAAAAAAATAGAATATAATAATTACTAAATCTAAAGGCAACAATTGAATGACAATACCTATTGCAATTTCACTTATTCCAATGAATCATAAAGGCAAATAAATAAAAAAATCGACTTCAGCTATACAAAGTATAACAGGAATCTCTCTTATACTAGAGCATCACTATGAAAACTTAAAAGTGGGATGTTCTTACTCTGATTTGCGTGCTTTCTCTTTAAATTGTTCTTGCATGTGTCTGATAAGATCATCGCTGGTCTCCATATGCTGGTCTTCATCACGCTTGCCTACCACAATATTCAAGATACTGTCCAAACCAAATATTCTATTAGAGTTCACAGACTGCTTCTGTTGAAAGGACAAATCATCTTTCATTTTTATCTCATTTCTTGATATCTTTTCGAATAATGATCTTAAGTATTCTTCTGGTAAACTTTTCCATCATCTATGCCACAATTGTTTCTTATCAAATCATCAGCTGACATCTGTACAATTCAATTTAGGAAAAAGGGGATCAATTTTCTTGCAGTAAATGTCAACGGTATCATATAGAGAACATATATGCACCTTGTACTTAACCATAGGGTTATGAGCATCAGTATTGTGCATTATGACAGAGTAAGCAAGGACATATGCCATATCAGCACTGATGAAGGCCTTTGGGTTACATTTGCAGTAACGCTCAGCAAACTTTTCCATGATTCGATCAATCTTTTGTGCCTCACCAGGCAATCTAAATCCTTGCAGAAAAGCTCGATTGCCTCATCAAACTCCATGCCTTGAAAGTCAAATGAGTCGACATAGGCATGCATTACTTTCAAGGACAAATCCTCCCTTTCTCCAGGATAATCACCGATTAATGTTTTGTTCAGATCAGATGCATTCTTAAGAAAAGCAGCTATCTCCTCTGGGGAATCACCAACCTTATTTGCTTGAATCAGAAATTCAATTCCTTTCTTAGGTTTCCGATTAAAAAGAGATATATCTTCCTGTCATAAGTTATAAATTAGATTTCACAAATGATGATTAGCTAAAAACTAGACGAGGTCAGATCAGTTTTCCAGATATTATTACGTACACACCTGAAGTTCAAGCTTGTAAGCTCAACGTTGCTCAATCGTTAAAACATCAG